GTATCTAAAATAGCAATTAATTTGGCACTTTTTAAATAATTATTAAATATAATAAAATTAATTTATAATTAAAATTGATTTTAATTAATTAATATAAAAATTATTTCAAACACCTATAAATTTATTATAAACATATATCCAACTTTCATATCAATTAAAAATTTTCAACCTGGTAAGCATGATAGAATAATTCATCAAATTTTTATTAATTTTTTATCTCATCATGTAGAACTATTACTTTTTTTTCTGTAGTAACTTTTCGTATCTGAAAATCATATTAAATATTGATTAATTCAAAATCAAATCGCATCGGACTCCATAATGAGTGAATCTTTCTCAGCACTTGTTTTTCTATTCATAAGTTTCAAACTTGAGATTTTATCTAAAGAAAATTGAATTCATTCTACCTAAATCAACAAATAATTGGTTATAACTATTACTATTATATATCTTTTTTAACCCAAATTAATTTCCTCTCTTGAATACCCATATTAAGAGGTTTTAAGTCAAAATATAAAAAATATAATATATTTGCATATTTTTTTGGTATCTTTCCATTTTTCTTCTATATTAATAATTTATTTATTATTATTCTTTAAATTTTTTTAATTTGTACCCTAAATGGTGTAATTATTATACCTTTTAGTCATTAAATTACATAAAAAAAATAAAGATTGATTTTAATTTTACCAAATATTAAATTAAAATAATACACGTGTCATTAGTGCTAACATTAATATCAATTTTTTTAAAATTTTTCTATAAGATTTAATGGCTTAAATATGCAATAATTATACTTTTAACATGTATTCTAAGAGCGTATATTAAAAAAACCTTATTCTTTCTCCCCCTTAAAAGTTGATATAGTCATTGTCAAGTTAACACACATCAGTTCTACATATTATAAGTTATAATTATTCATAATTCTTTGATATTTTAATAATATTATTAATTAATATGTTTATCCAAAACTATTTATAACTTAATCACTATTTTTTTACTCTTAAAATAATTGAGTAAATGAGAACTAGTTTGCGAAGTGCTATTTTAAATATAATATAATTTGTTTGAAGTATAATTGAGAACCATTAGTAGAGAAGTTATTGAGTTCATTTTTATTTTTTGCTAAATTAATTTGTGAAAATCAAATTGAAATCTTAATAATTAAAATTATAATTACATTTATATTTATTTATTGAAGATTTTAAAAGGTCAACTGAATATTTATTTAATATTTTAAAGGGATTTTAAAAGATTCATTATATATTTATTTAAGATTTATTGAAATTTTTAATAATTTTATAATATATTTTTAG